ATTTTAAAGTGAATAAACTACTAAACTAAACTAAAAGTCGTATACAATATAGGCTAAATGAGACAACTCATTTGCAAACAAGTCATTCTATGGGATAAAAAACATACAAACACAATATATATACGTATATACATATATATAACTACCCAAAGATAGCTTTATTTGACAATATTACATTTCTGGTATGTTCAGGACAAAGAAAACAGCTGGAGTGTTTCACGAATGTGGCACACAGGAATGTTAAAAAGCTTAAATATTCACACTACTTCACCTGAAACCGAGCCGACATTCTGATCACTGCAGTACAAAGCAAACAGACGATGGCTGTGACGTGTCAAGTATTACTCCAGTTACTGCACCGCATTTAACTTTTTTAACTTAAGCACTATCTAAAATGAATACAGACATCAAACTTGATGAATTGATAGTAAATTTCCAAACCTTCCTGGCTGAATTTGCTGCTTTTAAAAATAAATGAAGGAGTTATTCCTGATTCATTTTATAAATAATAAATGAAAACTTTCTCACTAACACAACTTAAAAAATAGTCTAAACACATGTGAGGTACAGAGGCACAAAAAGCTAACAGAGTGTGAACATTTATACATAGACAACACAGAAGTCAGGAGCAAACATCCACACAGGAGCCATATGATGTTTTTCATCAAGTTACATTCAAATATGTGACAATTAATTCCAAAACAGCTAATTTAACACTCAGTAGTTTTAATATTTATTATGAAATATGCCATTATGTGCTACGATGGAAGCATTGTGACGAAAACTTGAGTTAAACAAAACTATAACAAACCAAAGACGGCAGCACATTTGAGAGATCAGGATTTTTGCCAACTTGTTCTAAATTATGAAGCAAATTTTGTAGCTGCCAAGTTTAATTTGATGAATCTGACACAAAAAGTGAAAAATAAAACTCAAGCACAGCAGCGTTGGTCAGAGACCGATTGAGCCTGAGGACCTTCAGTGTTTGAAGAGCAGTAGGGACTAATGGCAGTGTGACTCAAACATAAAAAACATGCAGGTAAAATATAAATAACTCTTAAAAGTACATATATACACTTGTTTTCCTGTACATTTAGAGAGTTTTGAGTTTGCACGTGTGACTAGTAACTGTCTGCATCCAGGTACTGTTTAAATTCTTTTAAATTTTTCTTTTTTTTTCTACTTTCAGATAATTTTCTTTTAGTTTGCAATTATATAGAATGCACAAAACGGTTTTCCTGAATTCTACAATACATTTGTCCAAACTAAAAAAAAAAAAAAAA